TACCGTCAGGTCTTCGACTTAGGAGGACATCCAAGAAAGGAAGCGAACCTGCAGTCTCCACTTCCAAGGTGAACTTAATGGAGGGGTGTGCTTGGTTAACAGTATGTAGAAGCGCATTTACATCAGTTTCTGCTGGCGAAGATGTCATCGACATATCGACCATATTGTTTTAACTCACGGATCTGCTCAGTGAGTTGAGATTTCTCTAGCTTGTCCATGAGGATGTTAGCCAAGAGAGGTCTTAGAGGCGAGCCCATAGTGACGCCGTCTATTTTACTGTATAGTTGGTTATCAAAAAGGAATTGCACATTTAATGTGGATTTTAGTAATAGTTCCTTTAATTCACAAGGACATTTAAAATCAACAAAAAAGGTATACTGCTTAACCAACCGTTTTTTTACAGAGTATAATTTTAGAGGAGATCGAAAAGAAGCTCGTTCACAAGCCGCTATCCTGCAGTGACTGAAATACCTTTAGATTGGGCTGCAGGGTTATCAATGCTCCAACCAAAGTAATTTGTTGGAATAGAAAAGAAATTCGAACCCTTTCGGTTGAAATTTCATGAGCTTGAGAATCCCGCAAATTTTGCATTGGCGTGGCAGCTGCACAGGTGTGCGGACAGACAGCTCCGGGCGTCACGATTGAGGCTTCGGACGAATGCAGCACGAATGCACTAACTCGACAAGCATATCAGGGACGTCCGCACAGAATTCCAGTGACTAATAATTGGTATTCCAAAGATGACATGTCCACTTACTGCCTCCATAATTGTGTACCTGACTTTAAAGGACTTTTTATGGGGATGGGTGATTCTTTGTGGTCGCGCACATCTGGTTTTATTGAGATATCAGGACTGTGTGCATTATAAAGTCCTCCTACTAATGGCCGCGCTTCTTCTGGTATCAAGCCGGACTTGCGCCTGATTGCGTTGATGAAAGTATGCATGTAACCGCTGACGATACAGCTCTACGTACTTTGAATATGCATTTTTTGACGTCAACATTTGAAAAGAAGAGAAAACCCACGCTGACGCCGATAGTGACCCTTCTTTTATTAGGAGCATATTTTTTAAAGCAAATTTTCAAGGTTACTTGTTAAATATCCCTGAATCTAATTGGAGACGGTAATATTTATTGATAAAAACTCTGCATAGAATCTTATATTCAGTAATTTGTTAAGCCCTATACTTTGGGGCTGCCTTGAAGGTTTTTGGTTACAAACTACTTTTTTCTGTCCTGCCAACAGGCCCTTATAATCTATACAGAAGGCATGACTTCCAGTCTCATTGCCTGCAATCGTAGCAGACTTCGAGGCCATCGAAAGTCTGTACTTTGGTGACTGCGGATGAACTTTCCGGCAGCATTCTACACTAAGGCTGTTGAAAAGCACACATAAAAACAATGCACTCACGCCTTTAGCTGGGACCGAGGTCAAAGGGAGCTGTCGTTTACATGACAGAAGTTAGGCGCGCATGGCGTAAAGTTCATCGTCGGAACACGCACGCACGCACGCACGCGAGCCCCCATGGCGTGTCTTGTCGGTGTAAGCAGTTACTGAGGCGGAGGGGCTTTGAAAGTTTATGAAAGTAAAGGATATGTATCGCAGGGGGGTTAAGTGAGTTAAACCCAAACAACTGCGATCTCCAGACCATGGTAACCTAGTAGATAAGAAGTTTTGGAAAGGCTAGAGTAGAAGGAACAGTATATTGTGTACACAGAGGAACGGAGAATATATGGAAAGAGATTTGACCTGGAGAGCATACAACCGGCCAGGAGAGCCAGTCGTGTCCAAGTGCCGATTTAACAGCAGTCAAACCAGTAGATAGAGAGAGAGTGAGAGTTAATTGGTTGGGTCGGCCTTGAAGGTTGGTTGGACAGCGTATGGGTAGACATCGAAGTGGGCGGTCCGTGTCTCGTGCGCCAGTAAGTCTGGCGTCCGCCACGACCTTGAGGTCCAGACGGACTGAGGTCACGACAGGAAGGCATATGCAGACCACGGTTTTTCACCTGCTCCATCAAGACAAATTCGGATACTGGAGGTGTAGCTTGAAGTCTTGTAAGTCAGCTATTTTCCAATTCTACACATTGCCAGTCCACAAGAGTAAGGGTCGTCAGTCGTAACCCAATGGACACTACAGTGTGCTTCATTAAGAAAATTTAAGGCGCTGCCTACTGTAGTCCGGTTTGTTTTGACGCCGATTAAAGTACTCGCAGTGAGAATTGGGCGCGTGTGCATTCACTACGATCAGGAGATAGCCACAGAAAATGCTTTGTGAATACCGTCTCTGAAAAAATGGAATATTTTTAGTCTATCTTTTGGTTTTAACAGACAATGAAGTCGAATGGAGAGTGCAAAACCTCGAACCTATCATAAGGCTTTTGAACTAGGGAAAAGAAAACTTTCGAGAATAAAAAATAAAGTAAACAGGGGATTTGAAGCAGGGTTTGTGCTAGTATTTGGACCTGAAATTCCGACAGGCAAAACGGCTCATTACTTGTATCTAAATTGACAAATGATCCTGAATCAAGTAGAAATCGGTCCATTATGTATCGACCAAAACGCCAAATTAATAATGAACAGCCGTCAGCCGACTGCAGACACAAAAGACACAAAACCAGGAATCCCCCAACGACCAATTGTTTCCCTCAGAGGCACTCCAACATTTGGTCTAGTCAAGTGGTTGGTTCAACTTCTCAAATTTCTAACCCAGAGATCTGCAACGACCGTCAGCTCAGCTGAACAATTCATACAAAAGCTACAGGGTATTCAACTAACACCTGACGAAGTGATGGTATCTTTCAATGTAATCTCACTTTTTCACCTCGATACCGCAACATCTTGCGGTTGAAACCATCCAAACCCTGTTAGAAGAGAAGTACAACGAGACGCGCACGAAGCTCAAAATAAGGCATCTCATTGGACTCCTAGAAACACTGTTTGAGCACCTTTTTCATCTTCAATGGAACGGTGTATGAACAAGTAAAAGGTACACCAATGGGATCACCGTTATCTGGCCTGATTGCCGAAGCAGTACTACGACGACTGGAGGCACTGGCTTTCGAACACTATCGACCACGATTGTGGGTTCGG